ATCATAAGCTTCATAAAGGCAAAGACTGTGTCTGTTTTGTTCAAGGTTGTATTCCTGACTCAAAGTGTAAGAGCTATGTGCTGCGGTACAAAACAAGTGCTCAATTCTTATTTGTTCAATCAATGAATCCATGAATCCTTGAGTGTAGAAGAGAAGATGTTCTGGAAAAGTTAAAGTGCTGATAAAAACAGATTAACAACATGGGAGATCATCTGGCTAATTTCCTGGACCGTAACAATTGCTGGTTACAGTTCTGACATTTCCTAACCTATAATACATGTTCCTTGTTCTGTGACCAAAAACCTACAACTATAATTACATCTACAGACTACACAGTGAAGTACATATTTAACAATTTCCCAGTTAGATAAATGTCCACAAGTAAACTGGATAATGCAGAACAGGGCAGTTTTTTAGTTTGTCCTGAATTATAAATTGGTTACACTAATCAAGATAACTGGACAAATAAATCTCTACCATACTCACAAATGTGGCGTATAATTGAGGAATCCAATTTGAAACACATAACTCAAATGAAGAGTTAATGAGTTTTTGAAAAACGAACAACATTAATGAAAACAGCATGCCCGACATCTCAATGCAATGGCCTCTATGTTGTGACTTTGGTTTTTGCTCATAACTCATGCTGCCATCAAGATCAATGACATTCACTGACCAAACACAGTTCTTACCTGATTGTCAGAGAGAAGGTAAATTATGTGGACTTTTTATTTTCTGTCTGGTAATATCCACAGTGGACAATGAAATAAAGGAAACATAACACATGGAATTTACTATTACTAGTAGTAATTTTTATCACAGTCTCACTCAGTACTCAATTCTCTGAATTATTTAACTTGTACCAAGGAGTGCCAAGCTATAATATAGTTCAGCTACTTATGAACCAAATACAAAATCCACTGTAAAAGAAAAGGAAAAAAGAAAAAAATTAATTCTTTGTTAGATATTGTTTCTTTTAAGGGCTTAACATTCCCCATGAAGAAAGTCAGCATTTGTCTATAAGCCAATGAGGCCAGAGACACCTTCTGTACTTTTTGATAGGTGTGCAAGGATAGAGTAAAGAAAAAATAGAAAAGGGAGCAGTACAGGAGTAACAATGGTCTGGTGCTCCTGGAAACTTTCTAGATATGGATGATCCTAAAATACCTGCCCCCAAAAATCGAATCTTTTCCAGGTTCCTATTAAAATCAGGTCTTCTAAAACTAGTAATTACAGTAGCATCCATCCACCTGCCTGCTTCTTAAATATGTAAATACGGGACTTGACTTCAAGTATTATAGGAAGGCTGCACACATGATTAATTGGAATAGAATATGTCAAGTATCTGATAAATATTCAATAAATACTGGCCTTGGGTGTTACTGGGCGAGGCCCAACTTGGTTTGCCTAGTCATAACACAGTCATTTTTTTTTTTGGCAGCGATTACATATCCATCACAGTTCTTTTTTTTTTTCCACTCGTATAATTAACTTGGGTCTAGAGCCCAAAGCTTAAAACCCATCAATCTATGAGAAAACAGACTCAGACTTTTAATTAAAATTCAAACATGTGCCTTCCTTTTCTGTTACTTCAGTATAACATCCATTGATCCTACCACAGGGCTTTCACTGATTTTGGGAAAGAAGTTATCTAAATTTATTCTCAATATTTCCAATAGCATTTACTGTTTCCTATTTCATTGTTTTTCTTTAAGAAATCACTTTCTGCCACATTTTTAAGTTATTTATAGATTTTTTTTTCATCATTGGATTGGATAGTGTTTTAGATTCATTGCATTCTCCATTGCATAGTGATGTAACAGCTTTAAAAATATTTATTATGGGTATGAGGCTTTCTTTTGGGATAACGAAAAGGTTCTGTAGCTAGATAATGCAGATGGTAAAATACATATATATTTATTGATGACTGTGATTATTTTAAAAGTTCTGCATGTTCATTGTTCAACCTTTTGAAAATGCAGAAAAGTATAAAAGGGCAAATAAACAATGCCTATTTACCCTCCAATGGGAAAAAAGCACTGCCCCATTTTGGCTCTTTTAGCCTGTTTCCTATGTAAATTAATCTTTTTGTGTGTGTGTTTTTTTTTAAACATAGTTGAGGACATACTATTCATACAGCTCTCTGTCTTGTTTCCCCCCATTTAGCAATAATTGGGTAACACCTTTCCACATTGTTAAAATTTTTCATAAAAGTCCTTTTAAATGTCTGTATAATACTGTATGTTTTGATGATACCATTATTTATTTAAACTGTTTAACTGTTTTTAGGCATTTAGATAACTGCCAATATTTGACTTTTCTAACCACTACATTAAACATTTGTAAACATTTATTTAAAAAATATTTCTCATGAGATCAAGAGATCAAGAGATCAAGAGATCGCTAAAAGTGGAATTATTAGATCAAGGGGTACGAGCATCAATGAGGCTCTTCATACTTTCCACCAACAAGCTTTTCAGAAAGGTTATAACGTGTGCATCCTTCAATGTATTTGAGAGTGTCTGCTCCACTGCACACTAACTCATGTGGAGAATTATAATTTTTAAAAGTCTATGTAAATTTATAAGCTGGAAAAAATGGTGCCCTGTTTAAATTTTCATTTCTTTGGTTAATGGGAAGAGAATGTACTTTCATGTCTATTAGCCATTTAATTTTCTCTTCTATGGAGAGTCTATTCCTGTCTTTGTCTTCTTTTCTGCTGCAGTCTGTATTAGCTGTCTATTGCTGCATAACAAATTTCCACACACTTAGTAGCTTAAAGCAAAAAACATTTCTTATCTCACAGTTCTGAAGGTCAGAAGTCTGGGTGGGCTTGACTGGATTCTCTGCACAGGGTCTCTCTCACAAAGTTAAAATCAAGGTGTTAGCCAAGCTGGGCTCCTATCTAAAGGCTCTGGTAAAGAAACCAGTCACAAGCTCATTCAGGCTGTTGGCAGAATCCAGTTGCTTGTGGCCCTAGGCCTGAGGTTCCTGTTTCCATGCTTGGCCGCCTCAGCGATTCTAGGCCTCCTACATCCCTCAAGGCTGCCCCCATTCCTTCTCAAGTGTCCCCTCCATTTTCCAACCAGCAACAGCATACTGAGTTTCTTCTCAAATCTTTCTAATTTCCCCAGCCAGAGAAAGCTCTTCACTTTTATGGGCTCCTGTAATTAGATTAGAGTCACCCAGATAATTTCCCCATTTTGAACTTAACTGTGCCGTATAACAACATACTCAAGGGACTCACAGTTCATCATATTTCAAGGTTCCAGAGATTAGGACATGCAATCTTGGTGGAAGGTCATTTTTAGAATTCTGCCAGCCATAGAGTCGTAGGTATTGTTTCTTGTAATTTGTTTGTTCTCTTTATGATAAATCTTAATTGCAAGAATTTACCAAACAAATGAATCTTACTGATGACTGCCAGAAGCTGCATTTTCACCATGACAAAGGCACCTATGGATTGGGCTACTGTGTGCTAATAAAGATTTTAAATACATAACTTTGCTAATACTAGTATTTTCTAAAATTTTTAATTGTAGGGAAAATACACATAACATAAAACTTAACATCTTACCCATTTTTAAGTGTGTGGTTCAGTACTGTCAAGTACATGCACACTGTTGTACAACCAATCTCTAGAACTTCATCTTGAACTGAAATTCTATACCCATTCAACAAAACTCTCCATTTCATCCCTACCCTGGTTCCTGGCAAGCACCATTCTACTTTCAACACTGGTATGTTTTTAGTCTATGTATTTATTAACAAGCATGTATTTAGCAATTATTACATGCATTGTTCTGAGCATTTAATAAAATATTAACTCATTTCATCCTCATTAACAGCCCTGTGAGGTTGAAACTATTATTATCCTACAGATTAGGAAACATAGCAAGAAGACTGCACAAGGTTACACAATAGGAAGGGGTCACACAGGAATTTAAATCCAGGTGGTCTGGCTTTATAGGTCTTGCTGTGAACCATTACATTGTGAAAATATTCATTTTAAAGAGAAACTCACCAGGCATTAATGTTTTTTTGATGTGCATGATTTTAAAACACTTCTCTATGTGCAATTCAACTTAATATTCTTTTGTGAACTAAAAGTTAGACAGTGTGACCAAGGTGACATGTCTTCTTACCTTTGAGAGACTGTATCATCCAATTTTGCTTAAGGCATTTTCAGGAGGCTAACAAAATGAAAACTGCCTTGTATACCAACTATACCTTACATGTGGTATTTTATAATACAATGCCTTATGAATGAATACAAATTGCAATCCATTATTACTACTGAAATTAAAATATTAAAGAAAAAAACCCAGGTGTAAGGTGGAAAAGAGAAAAGGAAAACATCCAAATAAGTTTACAATAGCACAATGTCAGTTTAAGCTGGCATATTCAAATGTACTTGTCAGCTATAAATCTAGACCAATCTCAATTTGTCATTCAATTGTATATTTCAGTAGTAAATTATTTTATTTCAGGAATGGGTCTGAAATTTCCTTATCCTGATTTTTTGGGTTAGTAATCCTGCCACAAACCAAATCATGCTTGTCATCATGCATATGGTGTCATTTACTATACATTAAAAATGAGCGCAGTCAGCAGAAGGAACAATCGACGTTTCTTTGGGAGCCCCGGAGTGATGTGAGTTAAAGGCTCTGCCGAGGTTTGGATTCTAGGACCCGGGGCGGAGGGGAGGCGGAAGATGGGGGAGGGACAAGGCTAAAAACGTACATAACTAGATGAGCTATTTCAACTGCTTTCTACTTATATATCTGATTTATAAAAACAAACAGCCAGTGTTATCACCGCTCACCCATTACCCACCGCGCTGCGGCGCAGTCTAGCACGAAACAAAAACCAGGGCATGGAAGAAACAGCACAACCCCCTCTCCCCTAGGGCGCTTCTCGGCTATTTGTTACAATGCGGTCATCCCCACACCCTACCCCCACTGGCCAGCCAGGCTTCACAGATGCAGGCAGATGCTCACCGGGCCGCCGGCCGCTTCTCTCCTTCCACCTGCCGGGCCTGCCGTCTGCTGCCGGCCAGGGCTCGGCTTCCGCCGCAACCCCGCCTGGATGACAGCGCGTCCGGCCGGCCGCCGACCATCCCGGCTCGGCTGTCTGTTTACAAGCGCCTCTCGCGGTCCCACGCTTAAATGCTTCCCCGCGGCAGCCCGGGGAGCGAGACTCGGAAGCACAAGGTTCCCAGTCCGAAGGACACGGTGGGTTGTCTTTTCTTTGCCCAGGAGACCCAGCAGCCCGGTAGGGCAGGGCTCCTTATCCCTGTTTTCTTACACAGTTTTTCTCATACACGTTTGAAAACAATGGCGTGTCGTGGAGTCTCCTCCTATGTCGAAATGTTTTTTTGCAATTGGAAATTTTCAGTCATTTATTTCATTGTTTTATTGGCTTCTCCGCCCCCACCACAGCTTCATGCATAAACTCCCTGAGGGCAGGAATATTTCGGTTTCTCTCACCACCCCAGAACAGGGACAAAGCACAGGCCCATGTATGTTTCAATGAAGAAACGGAAGCAAAAAAAAAGAGGCAACAGAGACAAGGTAGGAATCAAAAAATCTGACTTGCCCTCTTAAAGAATAAGAAATATTTAACAGCTGAATTTTTAAATTTTAATTATCTTCCTTGGTTGATGTTCAGAGTTTAAATCAGTTTGTTAAAAAAAAAAAGTCACTGCAATT